ATCATCATCAGCATTCTTTCACAATCAAGACCATCGCAATTTTTCTCAAACATCATCATCAACACCATTCTTTTACAATCATCATCAACACCATTCTTTTACAATCATCATCAGCACCATTCTTTCGCTATCGTCATCAGTACTGCTGTTGTTATTGCTTAGTTTCCCGCTATTACTGCTAACAATGGAAAGAGCGTGTATATCATTTTCACAGAGCTGTGTATGCATGCATGTTTTAAACAAATGTCCATCTTTTTGCTTGTCTCTTGTTGTTGTACTGGTTGTTGTTGTTGCTGCTGCTGCTGTTGTAGCTATTGTTGTTGTTGTTGTGGTTGATTTTGTTGTTGTTGTTGCTGTATCAATTGTTGTTGTTGATGTTGTTGTTGTTATTGCTGCCTGGTTGTTGTTGTTGATGTTGTTGTTGTTGTTGCTGTATTGATTGTTGTTGTTGATGTTGTTGTTGTTATTACTGCCTGGTTGTTGATGTTGTTGTTGTTGATGTTGTTGTTGTTGTTGATGTTGTTGTTGATGTTGTTGTTGTTGCTGATGCAAGCTGTCACGTTAATTTCCTCTACTTGGACGTCTCAAAGTTGTGTGACGTTGATTTGCATGTAAATGTAAGCTGTGTTTAATGTGTTGTTGCTACGAACGTTAGTTAATATTTATATTGTGAAGATGTGTGGATGTGTTGTTATTGTTGTTAATTAGTTTTCTGTTGTTTGAATATGTGTAGTTGATGTGCGTAATCTTCTTCCGCTGATACTGTTTTTTTGATTGCTGCTTCGCTTCAACTTTTATAAAATAACTGAAACACAATAAAACCACAATGAAGCAACAGCAGCAACAAAAACAGCAGCAGCAACTACAACAACAAAAGCAGCAGCAGCAACAACAACAGCTGCAACAACAACAACAAAGAAACATCAAACAGAGCCTGATTAGTCCAAATGTAAGAGATGATCAACAGACACAACTCAGAAGTTTAAGGCAAGGATTAACTGAGGAGGTACCGGCGATAAAAAAAAAACAAACAACTCTGCGCACTCAACTGCATAAGAAACGCGACACACCAAATAATGATGCTCTTAGGCTGATATTTTTGATGATGATATTGACGACGACGATGATGATGACGGTGATGATGATAATGACTAACAATGATATTGCTGTTGGTTATGGCGGTATGATAGTGATAATGTTGATGATGTTGATGTTGGCGATGATCAATTGATGATGGGAAAATGAGATTGTAACAGAACCTGCGCTAAAAATGAAGTGTGATAGTTTCAAAAATAGAAAATTAATTAGGCCAAGAATTGATGATGAAAAGATAACGATTAAGACGATGATAACGCTGATGATAACGATGGCGATAGTGACAACGGTTATGACAATAATGATAATGGTGATAATAACGGTGGTGATGATGATGGTAGAAAAAAATGACAACAGCAAAATCGGCAAAAAGAAATAAGAGTTTGAAATATGAAGGTGATGGAGATGATGTTGGGAACGATGATGACAATAATGATGAAAAGGATGAAGATGAAAAAAAAATGATGGAAAAAGGATGGTAAAAATGGCATGGAAGGAAATGATTTATTTATACTCTTAATTTATTTTGCTGCCATTGCAGATATATGTTTCTTTATGTCGATACTTATTCGATTATATTCGGCCGTATTTCTCGATCGATTCATTGAATGGATTATTAATTATTATTATTATTATTATTATTATTATTATTATCATCGTCATTATGATTTTTATACTTTGTGGGGATGAAATTTTTGTTGAAGCATGCGTCGGATAATGTTTATTATGCTACGCTTATGAAAGTTTTCAATTCAAGTGATGTTAATTTTGTTGTTGTGTTTGATTTTTCTGATGTTTTGTTGTTGTTGTTTGTTGTTTCTAACTGTTCAGATTTAGTTGATGTAACAGCGTTATGTCTGGTGCTACGGAGTTATTAATGAAGATGGTCCTGCTGCTGCTGTTTTGATGTTCTTTCCATGTAGAATGCCCCGGGAAGATGCATTCAATCAAACCATAATAGACTCTCCAGCCAGTATAAACATCAGACTAATACAGTAATAAATAGACTAATCTAAACATACATCCATAACATGTGCACACAGCTATAGACACATACACACGCTCACACGTGCACATAAGCTTGCACACACACACACACACGCACATACAAACTTACTCACACGCTTGCACACACGCAGACACATTTATATAAACGTACGCACGCAACCGTTGCATACAAAAAATATACAAAAAATATGCATCTTTATTATTTTCTTTCTTTATTAGAAAAAAATTGCCAGGCCAACATCATTCGATACAAACTTACTTTATCAGTTGCAGAGAAAATGAACAGCGCTCAATATTGTGACCCCTGTGTATAAAAACACGCACGTAAACACATACAAACAAAATGCATACGTGCATACAAACACCCACGTATGACAATACAAACAAAATCATGCATGCATACAAATACGCATACATGCACAGATAAACAAACAAGCATGAGTGCATATAAACAACTAATCAAGCATACTTATACAAAAATGCATGTGTATACATCTAAACATGACAATATGTACGTGCATGTACGTGACGGTAAAAAATCATTGTGTGTGTCCATAAAAACACATACATAGTTTTATAAACACGTATACGTGAAGTTGTCTGATTGGATGGAAATTGTGAAAGATGGAAATTAGGATTTTATTTCAAAGTAAGAAATTCAAAGTGTTCACATAATAACGTATAATTTAATTTACATCAATGAGAAAAAGTTAAGCTTCAACACTGACAACATATTTAGAATAACTTTCAAACAATGACATAAAATTGCGAAAATTGTTGACGAATATTATTCCAGCAGAGTTTTGTTATGTCATCACATGAACACACTATTTATGAACTTGGCAGGGAAAATAAATTTTTCAGACCAAACGTATTTGAAAACATTAAAACAAATAACAAAGTAGAATAAAATCATACAGTCAATTTGAACAAAAAAATAAACTCACATACAATTTAAACATACAACATTTGAATAGACAGAAAAGAAACATACAAACATAAAAAATACAAATATGAAACACACAAACAAGAAACTTACGAGCTCAATATATGAAAATAACCAAATACAAACGCCATCAAGCACAAGCACAACAATCCTATTACTGACTGCTGTTACATGAACGAGCCAACAAGCAATTGACTGAAATGGAATAACAAGGAGCTCTGAAAAGTCGTAAACTGCAATTAAAGAAATTGCTAACTATCTTACGTACGTTCAACCGTACTTGTAAACGCACTTACATGCATACAAACGCAAGTACATACGTATGTACTTTCAAACTTACGTACTTTCATACTTACATGCAGAGGTACTTACATATACACGTACATGCAAACTTGAATACATACGCATAAGGAGGATTTTATTGGGTTTTAAATTTAATATTATCTGAAAATTTCAAAATTTTTAAGTTTGAATTGTTGCGAAAATTTAAAAAATCGAAGTTTAATGGTAATCAAACTCACAATAAAGACATTCTGATATAAATACACACACTCACGTATACAATTATACACATCTAACATACACACACAAACACATACGTACACACACATATACACATATACACGCCACATGTGTGCAGTACACAATGTAAACGATATAAATCACACACTCCATATAATGCCACCTACGGTTTTTTTAATAATTTTTTCAAAGTTTTTTTTGGAGTTGTTAAATATTAAAATTGGAATTGGTGAGCTGCATTACCTGCTACAAAGCAGAAGCCAATTTTGCTCTGAAGCTCTCAGCTCTCATACAAACGAACGTAAAATGCATCAGAAGAAAACTTCCCAATAAATAACAAGATCAAACAATAAAATAATTTTCTGACTTAGTTTTTTTCATTTTTATTTGATTTAAAAAATTTTTTTTAAATATAAACCGCGCTAATAAAAACAATATCTGAAAAAAATTTATAAAGAAATAATACCAATAACAACAACAACAACACACCACCACCAACAATAACAACACCACCACCAACAACATTGCGAATAAAGATCATCACAGCCAGTAACACAAAAACCTATCAATAACATTCTCATAGCCGAGACATAAATCATTGTTAATGGAGTTGTATAGCAACATCAACATAACAACAACTTCAACATAACAACAAAAACATCAGAATAAAAACAAGATCAGCATAACAACATCAACCCAACATAGCAACAATAACAACTTTAACAACTACATAACAACAATAAAAAAACAGTCTGAAAGCATCAACATGACAGTATAAAAACCTATAAAAATTAACAAAGGCATATAACTGCATTTAACTGGATTTAATTAAGACTACTGCTGTTTGTTCACGAATGAAATAAAAATTTTATAATATCACCAATTCTAAGATTAATAACAAAAAATAATTAAATTAATATAAAATGAAATATAAATGAATAATAAAAATATAAATAAATAATAATAATAAAATAATAATAATAAAATAATAATTTGGGTTACATACAATTACAAAAAAAACATTTCACCTATTATGCTGCTATATAAAAGTTCAGACAATTACTTAACATCTGAACAATTGTATGTTTATGAGCCATGAATAAACGCACACACACACACACATTTTCACAAATACATACATACATACACACGCATACATACATACCCACAGACACAAACACACACACTCACAAGCATTGATACACGTTTAAACATCAACGAATAAACACACACACACTTACACACATACATAAACACACACATATACACACACACGCACACAAGCATTTACACACACACACGCACACACCCACGCACACACACACAAAAACAAATACACACGAGTAAAAAATATAAAAATATTTTTTAAAGGTAGAAATGCAATTAAGCCTCGATGGTGACCCGCTCATAAAAAATAAATGAACATACCATGTGTCCACCTCGATCCTGCCGTCGCAACAACCACCACAACCAACCACCAAACGCTCTCTTTTACGTCAACAACAACAACAACAACAGCAACAACAACAACAAAATTAACAGTAATAACAATAATAACGACAAGTACAATGAAAACAGTACCAATTACATCAACGACAACGATAAAAATGTTAGCATGTGTTTTATAATCTATTGCTATAACCAGCGCAGTATCAATAAACACAACGACATCAACAGTTTCTACAACATCAATAACAATTATAACATCAACGTCAACAACAAAAGTAGTAACATCAACAACGTCAACATCAGTAACAACAATAGCAGCAACAGTAGCAGAAGCCACAAAAGTAAGAGATGCATTGAAGAGATTTACAGTAGTGAAGTTGTGGAGGGTTGCAGATTGGCGAAGAAATGTTTTTATAAAAATTGCGATGTGGACGGAAATTTCATTAGAAGAATTTTTACGAGCCAGAACATTGCCGAGCATTTGAAGACAAACAAGAACAAAATAAATAAACGGAAATGTTTCTACTCGAGCAATAGCCACAACTTTTATAAAAACTGCAGCAGCCACAACAGCCACAACTTTGATGGCAACTACAAAAACTACAACAACCACAGTCGAAAATACAATCACGACAACATTAAGGGCAACAACGACAAAAATTACAACAACTACAACAACGACAGAGTTATAAATAGCGACAAATTCAACGGCAAGATTGTTGCAAATATTTCCAGCCAGTATTGCAACAACAAAACCAACATCAAGCACATCCACAAATTAAACGGAGATAACATCAACATTGTAGACGTTAACGCTATCGACAACATCAACAAAAACTCTGTTAATGACATTAGTGTCACCAGCAGAAGTTGCAAAATTAATGTGATAAATAATATTAATCAAATAAGCGGTGCTCTGAATTTAAATGATTACAAAAACGTAAACAAAATCAACAATAAAATTAACGATAGTAACATCAATAACAAAACCAACAACATCAACAAAAATAACCTCAAAAACAACAACAACAACAACACTAAAAACGTGATAGACAGAAGCTACACTAACCACATCAGCAACAACAATAACATTAACTGCGTCAACTACAACAGCAACAACGACAATAACAACAAAGTAAACAACAGTAGTTACTCACACAACATTGGAGACGACTATTATTTAAATGGTAACAGCATTATTTACACTGGTAAGCCCATAAACAAGCAGAGCTCCATAAATAATACTAGAAACATCATAAACTACCGCGCCGCAACCGACAACATTAACGTCAACACCAAAGAAAACATTAACAACGTCAATAACTCAAACAACAAAAACAACAACATTAACAACAACCAAAACCGTAGAAATATAAACAGAAACAAAAACAGCTGCAACCAATCTAACAACAACCACCTTAGCATAAACAATAAATACAACGAGCAAAGCTTCAACAGTCAAAAAATTCATTGCAGCCTCAGCGGTAACCACAACAACCACAACAACTCCAACAACATAATCAACAACTGCAACAACCAAAACAACCATCGAAAAAGCAACAATAACAACTTAAATATTTACAACAGTTACAACAACCACAACAGTAACAAAAGCAACCACAACAGTAACAACAGCAACCACAACAACTGCAGCGACTTAGTTCTGAACACGACAAAATATTTAAAGGCAATATTTTGTTTATTAGTTTTACTGAACATTACACAACAATGCCAAGCTGTCTGGGGAAGTACAGGTTTGTTTGTTGCTGTTGTTTTGTAGTTGTGGTGGTGGTTTTATTGCTGCTTTTTGTTACTTTCCTGCTTGTTGTTATTTTTGTTGTTAGTTTATTTGTTAGCTGTGAGATCTATGTTTTCAATTTAATTTAATTTTGTGAGTTGTGGCTGGTCACGTGGTATTGTTTCTTTCCAAGTTATTGTATTTTCTTCTGGCGCTTGTCACTTTTGAATTTTTTGTAGTGTTTTTTTTACTTTGATGCGTTTTTTGTTTTTGTTGTTTTTTGTAATTTGTTGTTTTTTGTTGTTTTTTGGTGTTTGATAGTGTTTTTTGTTGTTTGCTGTTGTTTTTTGTTGTTTGTTGTTGTTTGGTGTTTGAGGTTCCTTGGTTTGTTACTTTTGTGGTGAATATTGTTCTTTGTTGTTAGTTGTTTCAAATTGATCATTTTGCAGTTTTTTTCACTTCATCAGGTAGTTTGCTTTTGTTAATTTAATTTGTCTTCTTTTCATGTGAGAAACATTTTGATTGAATTTAAATTAATTTAATAATGTTTCAAAATATTGGCCATTTTACGTTCTGTATCTTATGACATTTGAATTAATTTTTGTTGTTGATGTTATTTCAAGTCAATATTTTTGTAAACATTTGAGAGTGCATACATTTTTTGGCAGCACTCCATGAATAACAACAATGCTGAAAAAAGGAGTGAAATTTGTGGGCGATCATGTTGTTCGCGGTTATGAATTATAGATCAAAATTAATGATAATAACTCCAGAAACATCAAAGTCGCTTACATTTTTGCATCAATATCAACACTGGATTTAACTTAAAGTTTATGCGTACTTTAGCAAAACATTATGCACAGCATATCGTATCACATTACATGACATTACGACACACTTCATCTCATTACACCACATAGCACAAATAATTTTATAGCATGTCAACTCTTATAACACAGGTGATGTTGTTCATAATTACGACGATTTTTAATTTGAATTTGCAAACACACACACGCATATACGCAAACACACATACACACGCACACACATACAAACAAACACACACACATACATACACAACATACACAAAACCCATAGGCACGCGCAAAGTGAACAAACAGTATATTCATTGCATGTTGCATATTAAGTATATAAGTTGCAAACTATATATATATATATATATATATATATGTATATATATATGTATATATGTATATATATATGTATATAATGTACGTTTATAACCTAGCATATATATATATATATATAATAACTAAATAAATAAATTAATTTTACTTTCAAAACTTATTTGTTAATCTTTTTCACCATCCTCATCGTCATCATCGTCGTCATCGTCCTCCAAGATTTCAAGGTTGTAAGGTGAAGGACATAAATAAGAAAGCAATAATAATATTATTAGCCACGCTTCAGCGCTCACCACATCGGCGATTGAGAGATGCAAATCGTTCTTTATCTTTTTTTATATTTTTTAATTTTTCTTGATTATTTTCATTATTCTTTTTATTATTATTATTTTATATTTTGTTATTATTTTTATTATTTATTTCTGTTATTAATATTTTAAATCGTCTTTTTGTTCTGTTTTTACCGGGTTTTGTTCTCGCTGCTTTTTTACGTTACATGTTCATAATTCTACCTATGTATGAATATTCAGCGGTTGTCATTTTTAAAAATTTCGATTCAATTTGATAACGTTGGCGTTAGTATGTTTGTTAATGTTGTTTCATTGTTTGTTGATGATACGTGGTGGTGTGTGTGTGATGTTCGTTTGTGTGTGTGTGTGTGTCCACACTTCTAATCCGCCCATGAAAAATTTGTCTGTGACTTGCTGGTGAGCGTGTGTTTGTAGTTCGTATGTGAGTATATGTTTGGGTGTTTGTGTGTGTATGTATGTGCATGGGTGTATGTATGATTGTGTGTATATGCGTGTATGTATGTGTGTGTCTTTATGTGTGTGTATGTGTGTGTTTGTTTGTGTGTATGTGTGCATCTGCGGTCAGGTGTAGGTATAAATCATGATTGAATATGCACGCGTTTCTGCATTGAGAAAAATTAATATTTCGTTATTTTATGTGGCTTCCATGGCAAATAACTTCACTTCATTCCTTGTCCTCCGATATTATTTCTCCCGAGCCCTTTATACTTTCTTGTCGCTGATCGTCGCAAGTGGCGTTGTTATTGTCGCTGCTTCTATTGTTGAAGTTATGTCACTGTGGTTGGTGTAGTTGATGTTGTTGCTGTTGCTAATGTTGTTGTAATTGTTGTTGTTGTAATATCATTTGAAATAACAATCGCGTTGCCAACATTGGCTGAACGAGTTAACTTCTTTTTGCAAAGAAAAAATAACAAAAGTGTCTTTCCTAAACCGGGATGTCTTATTGTTTATTTTCTGTTAATGATTTTATAAGCGTTTTTCATCCGCAAGTAGGTTTATCGGAATTCAATCACATACAAACAAGTTAGCCACACACACACACACACACACACACACACACACACACACACACACACACACACACACACATACACACACATACACACACACATACACAAATACACACACCTAAAACAACACACAGAACAGCGAACCTGCAAGCGCATAATCATACTGCATATATACTTTGAATGGTAAAAGTGAGTAAATCCACTTGTAAGTAAATGAAGATTGATATAACGTCGCCGGTGTATATGTATCATTCTGAAAAAACGAAACCAGCAAAATATACAAAAGCAACATTAATAGCATTAACTCTAGCTTCAATAATGTTCTGCAGGAATGTTTGAAGGTTAAATTAAATAAAGATGCCTGGCTTAGACTTGATGTGGCCGCGTCCGAATACAAGCATGTCTTCGGCTATTGTATGCAGTGTGTGATGCTTATTTACGTACGATATGTATGTCGTTGTTGGCACTTGTAAGTATTGCTATGTGAAAAAAATACATTCGGTGAAAATAGCAGCTGAAAAAGAACGACTAATTCAAATTTTAAAACAAACATATCACTTTAATGAACGGTTCTAACAACTAAATTACACTAATACACTAATTACACTAAAACAGCAGCAACAAACACTTTATCAATGGTAACAACAACAAGCTAACAATGACAACTACAACAACATCAACGAAAATAGAAAAGACACAACAACAACAATATAAAAATCTAAGATTAAAAAGATGAAAACAAAAGATGAATTTGGATGAGATCTGGCAGGCCTCGTGAATGGACGATTGATAAGAAAGTATGCCTCCTTCGCATGTTCCTCTGTGGTGCAACTTTAGTTTTCATTAAGGAGTTTTATGTTACTGCTATCATGTGCACATCACAACTTTCCTGCTGACATGAAGATTAATAGCGTTTGACTTTTTGTGACGTAATTAACGCTTTGCAACTAATTAACTTTTGCTAAGATGAATGTCGGGAGATTTTTGTGCCAGATTTCTTTGTTTTTGTGTTTTCCTCTCATGTTTTTTTTCTGTTTTTATATTTTTTCAAACTAAATCTTTAACTTGTTTCAATTTTACTTTGCATTTTGTTCAAAGATGCAGAAATAAAAAAGTTAACATTTCAAAAAAGTTAACATTTCAGTATTGAAGATCTCTCAGTACGTGTGTTTGTGATATCCACACGCATTTGTTTGTCAGTGCGTGATTGTAAACATTCGGTGGACAGGCAGGCGGGCAGAAGCAGAATGAATGAGCAGCACAAAATTCAACATGACGTATGTAGATTACATCGATCAAAATAAAACGAACAGAAAACAAGCGCGCTGTAGCAATTCTAGTAAGAACAGAAATAAAAAACAAATTCAATGCATTAATTATTGTCGTAAGAGATACTCAGCCTGATAACAGCCGCGCCAGTTGCATGTGCTGGAGACAGCATGCAGTAACAGAGTAGAAGCATGCAATAATACAGTAGTAGCAGAGTAACAAAATGTAACAAAACTCGTGTCTGCTACATTGTAATTAATTACGTTTTGTTACTCTTTTACTACTGAATTACAATGTAGTAATATGATAGCAAACACAAGTAGCACTGTATCAATATGGTTGTAACAAGATGGTAGGTTATGTAGTAGTAAAAATGATATCGTTGAAAACAGAGTAAAATAAAGAAAATGAAGATGTATTAACACAATAGTAACAGTAACAAAATAGTAACAAGTTAGTAATAAAATATTATTAAATTAGCACTTAGTTAGTATTATAGTACCCACTGTATATTGACCGATTTAAAACAAGGTAATAATGAAAGACCTAGAGACAGCGAAAAACGAAGACTCTGTATCATTCACTGAACTTACACTGCTATTACTAATAAAATAGTTATGCCTTCTACTTTCTCGTGCCTCATCTTTTCAGGACATTGGCGACCATCGACCTCCACAAAATTCGATTTTCAATACTTTGTAGTAGATGAAATGTTGCGATATTCACGATAGAAATACGTTGAATGCACCTTCCAATGTGCCAACATGGAGCGTTAGAATGCTGTACGAGACTTATAAATTTGAGAACCCAAAACAGGCAATGAAAAGAATGAATCTAAGCATTCAAGGTTTGAGCAAAACTCGGTGGAAAAAATCAGGTGTCATTACCTTTGAAGATGGCAAATTTATCTACTCTGGAAGTAATTTACACGGACGAGGTAGGTGTACTTTTTGAATGTCTAAACATTAAAAAAGTTTCTAGACGGTGTCAGATAGAGTTTTGTTGGTCAAAATACACGCAAAAATAGTAATGAACAATGGTAAAAAAAGTTATACGATTGTTGTAACGATCGTTGAGACGGTACATACACGCACAAATACAAACGCTACCACGCATTGGCATCTTCAGCCGGCTTCTTCTAAATGAAAGAAGAAAAAAAATGTTGCTCACAAATCTAAAAAAATAAGAACACGCAATAAAAAAAAACACAGACGCACGCACACACAATGGAAATATTACAAAAAACCTAAAAAACCATGGATATTTTTCAACATCAGCAGGAGAAAACATAAAACTATTTGAAGAAAAAAATAACGTTTGTTCATAATTTGTTGTTAACATCTCCCACGTACGGCTAACATGAATCAGCATCACGAGGTGGTTTAAATATAGGATGAAAACAAGAATACAACCACGACACAACAAAACAACAACAGCCACCACAACATGCTGACACGACAGCAAATGGATAAAAGATGGAAATAAAAATATTTGCAAGAGATTCACCAGGAATATGGCGGAAATAACATAGAAACCAAAAATGGGAGGCAAGAATTACATTCAGAGGTGCAATAAAGTATCAGTTCACACCCACTATCGCATTGACGCATTTTTTATACACACGCACGCACGCACACACAAACACAAACAAATAAACACACACATAAGATTAATACACGCACACACAGCCACAAAAAATATACACACAAATACGACTGTTTAAATAGCGGGATGAATATTCAGAGGCATGCCCTTCTTAAGACTTATAACTGATTGGATGTGGTTGCACGATGGAGTGAACATTAGATAAATAGGCAAACAAAGTTCAGCTAGAAGTGTGTGCATTTGGTAGGAGAACGAAAATATGATGCATTGAAATGATTTGTTTGGATTATTAGGCAGCATCGAAACAAATTTCTTGCACAAGCAAGCTGAGCAGGTGCTGCAGGGTTTGGTGTAAACTTTGTTTTTAAATTTTCTTCAAATGAATGTTTCAATATTTGCTCTAAAAACGTTCGTCAATTTGTTTGCATTGGGATAAAAAGCCTGGACGCAGTTTGAACAAATAAGAACAATAAATTGCGGTTTGGAAAGGAAACGAGCTTGTGTTGTATATTATCGTATATTGTATGAGAACTGTTAAAAGAACATCTGCTAGTTATGAAATTTGAAACACTGACTAAAAAAAGTTTGTTTATAATTTAAAAAAATTTACTGTTTCTGAATTTTTATTTTGTATGTATATATTTGTATGTATACAAAAAATTTTGTTTAAAGAGTTTCTTTGGTATTTAATGATTTTAAAGCTACTAGCTAGTTGGCTCAAAATTTTGTAATTATAAGTGAGTGGAGACGACTAGAAACATGTGCATTGATTCATTTGACCCAACCTCAAAAATATGGTTTGGAGGGAAGAAAGATTTGGCAAAAAATTGGGAGCTTGTTTCACTTCAATAAACTACATTCTTTCTCTCACTTTTGTTTTTACTCGCTTAATTAAACAAAACGGTTTTTTGGGGTTTAATAAATTTTTGTTGTGGTAGAAAAATGGAATTTTACGATGGCTACGATGTTCTTACAAACGCAAATTGATGTGAATTTGGCGCTACCTGATGAAGTTTTCGCTGAGATTGCATGAAACTTTTGCTTTTCTTCCTTAATGTTACAAGTCTAGCAATTTTTGAACATTACATTCGATATTTTTTAAATTTCAAATATTAATGGTAGAATTTTTTAAAGTGTTTTAGAAACATAAAAGTTTATTAATCTTCATACTGCAGGGTCGATGTTTGTTTCTATCTGGCTGGCCAGGAATCTCTCAGCAGTGCAAACACGCCTGATGCTCATACATTTATGCATGGACGTTTGTTTGTGTATTTGTTTGTATGTGTATTTGTTTGTTAATTTGTTTGTTTGTATGTTTGTTTGTTTATTTGTTTGTTTGATTGTAAGTCTGCCTATCCATACATTTTTTGAATATATATCTATACACACAAGGCATATGTATAATGTGCATGCAAATGCATTATATTAATACACATTTATAGATATATTGGGAGCAAAGAGCGATTTCTGTGACTTTAGAAAGGAATTTTTGTGGCTTGCAGCTTCCAATAAATGAAATAATATAACTCCAGCCCAAAGTAACGTTATTTACGCAACTTTTTAAACGTCAATCCTAAAGAAACAAAACAAATTAAAAGCACACACACACACGTCAATCATTTACTTCTTTCATTTCAGACTCATTCAATCTTTCCATCATCAATCTTTGCCATTCCATTATGCTGACATTTCATTAGACAACTTTCCGTCTTAATCAAATGGAAGATTCCCGCCAAAGCGATGCACGCGCGCAGCTCTCAAATGGACACAGATAACCGGCATAATATACGCGAACGATACGATGGCAGATGTGCTGCCTAAACATATTTATTATGCAAAAAAGTAATTATAAGCATTTTTGGTTGGAGCGCAAGCACCTACAAAAGTACACATGTACTTTTTCCATGCGGTCACACGTACCTACAACGTGACTAATATAAATTGACTAATAGAAACTACGTACAGGAAATAAGCGATAAAAATATTGTGCAAGAGGTTTAGCATCTTGACTAACAATACTTGCACACAAAACGTCAAAAATTTTGAACAGCCTTAATCGACAACTTTCGGATGGTTATGACTCGTTAATTTAATTATCTCTAAATTGCCCATATTATTAAGAACCGTCAAGTGAACTAACAGTGAAAATGTTACAAGAGAAGAAAACAAAATATTTGGAGAAAATATCACTGTGATGCAATATACCATGTGATGAAATAATTTTGCAAAAATAATTTTAAAATTTTAAAAACGATCGTAAAACAATCCTTAAAAATGAGGTACCAAAATACAGACAGATGTGTGTAGATGAAT